TCTTTTAGTTTTAAACCTGATGTTTATAAGCTTCTTAGTTTTTGCAACGGTCTGTAAATATACACAACTTTATAATAAAATGCACACATTTACCTTTTTCTAGACTAAACACAGGTATGATCCTAAGTTAAAACATATGAGGTTATCATGAGGTTGTTAACATCGCAGTTTATCAGTGGATGTTTGCTGGAACTACTTGTTAACAGCTTGACAGCAGCGGACACACACAGCGCGACTCCGGTCAGGTAGAGACCGGTCTCAAGTCAGCACCGCTGCAGACTCGCTGTTTGAGGGCTTGATAGCCCACTCCCCCTCCACACCGCTCCACACTCGTAGGCGGACCCTCCGCGTCTACGCGCAAACGGAGGGGTAGGGTGTAGGGGGCGGTTTGGGAATGGGCCATCGTCACTGCTCAGAGAAGTGCACTTCTCCCAGACCACGTTGATCAGATTATATTCCTGAACAAAAATCTGAAGAGAATGTAGATGCAGTTATGTAGAGAGGAGCCTTTCTGTTTAGTGTTTTTGGCTTAAATGTTACTCCTTTGGACTTGAATTATTGGCAGGTACATTTTACATTAAATGTTGTTCTTAGTGACTTGAATTATTGGCTACCTCATATTCTGTGTTAAGCTAAAAATGCTGTAAACGAATCTGTTCAGAACAGGCCACCTGCTGCACCTTTTAATTCTCCATTGTCCATTGTGATACTGCACTTTATGTACTTACGTTTCAAAGGCTTGTAAACTACAGTTGGCACTGTTTCAATAAATGAAACAAATTTTCTAACCACATCTTTTGAGTCATTTTGTCCAGCATTTGCAAGCTGTAGACTCTCTGTCTAGTCAGAGCCATATATTGTATAATTGATGCTTTCAGTTTTCAGTTGAATTAATTCAATCCAAGTCAATGGAACACTCACAAGATGTCACCAAAATCACACTGTCCCTTTAAAGTCTTTCAGAAAATGATGTAATTATATCGAATCGTATCGAATCGTATCGTTGGCTGAATATCGTGATATATATCGTATCGTGAGCTCAATATCGTGTATCATATCGTATCGTGAGATTAGTGTATCGTTAGAGTCCTACCTGAAACCTGTGTTAGCTGCTTATTGGAAGTCTGACCAAACCATTAAAATATGACAGATTTTACGCTGTTGATGTGTTCAGTGCTGAAGTGGATAATGAAACCTCTCCGATGCTGCCGGTCACCGCCACACCGAGGAGCTCCAAGAGAAAGTCGGCCCAGCTGGTGTCCTCTCGAATCAGAAAACAGCTGTGAGTGGAGAGAGCAAGTCATCCTTTTGTTTTTTTCATTGCCCTGATTAATCAATTAATGTATTATCCTGGAAGATTTATGAGTACTAAAGCTTCACTGTCTGTTCGATCAGGAATCTTCTGGACGACCAGCAGGACCTGAACTCAGACGGAGAGGACGAGTTTGTTCCATCCAAAAAGGAACTCCAGAGCAGCAGTGAGGATGATGATGGTGGGGAAAAGGAGGCAGGGCTGTATAGCGTTAATGAGGTGCTGGTTAAAAAGGGCAGACACACTGCGGCAGGTTGTCGTACTCCTCGCTTGAAGCAGAGAACTCGCACCTCTACCAGAACGCCGCGAACAACTCCAAACAAGAAGGTACAAGTCCTGGAAACATCTCCAAAAGACAGAATATTTTCACTGTTTTTTTATTTTTTCACCTTGTTTCTTTTAACTTCGTTAGCAGATAACACCCGGCACACCACGGACTCCTCACCACGCCACTCCCAGCATCCCCTGCAGGTTGAGACCAGCCCAACAGCCTGCTAATGTTCTGGAGGAGGCTAGACTGAGGTGTGATGCAACGTCATTTGACATGGTCAATGTTTGAATTTATTTCATTCGTCGATTTATTATATTATTACTTGGATAGTTTAATGTTTGTAAATTATTATTATTGCAAATTCCCAAAATTGCCTAAGTTTATGTCTTCAATTTCTTTGTTTTCGCCAAAGCAAAAAGTATTTTCCATGAAACAGAACTGCATACTCAGTAAGCTCATATGCCATGAATTTACCTTTTATAAAGTTGCTGAGAAAATGGTAAATCAAACAAATTACCAATTATTTTTCCACTTAATCCTCTTAGTAAATTCTCAAGTTTTCTTTTGATTAAATGTTAATCATCTGGCAGATGATCTGCGGAGTTAACTGAACATGAATAACTTGTATTTTATTGTTAATGTTATTTTATTATTTTATGTTTAATGTGAATCAATCTGTCTCTTCAGGCTGCATGTGTCCTCAGTGCCAGAGTCTCTTCCCTGCAGAGAGCAAGAGTTTCAGGACATCTACAGCTTTGTGGAGAGCAAAATTGTTGACGGCACAGGAGGGTAAGATCCAGATCCCAATCCTGACTTTGGTCCCACAGTTGACAAGTCCCCAGATCTGTCACTTATATAGAAAAATAGTGGCTCTGCTTCAAATGGCAGCTTTCTATAAGATCCATTCCCCACACCAAGGTATATACAGTATATGTTTTTGTTGCAAGTTTTGTTTCGGTTCGGTTTTCGTACAGCAACAGTCGTTTGGGCACAGTCTTAGTCCACACGGACACAAAACGGGTTGTATCTGCTACAGTTCGTATAGACCAGGGGTTCCCAAACTTTTTCAGCATGAGACCCAAAACAGAAATGTTGTGGTCCTAAGGGACCCAAGCTCAAAAAATTTCATGATTTTCCATAATATCTACAGTTATAAACAAAGAATGCAACACACCATGAATTTAAAATGTAGATGAAAATATTTATTTTATTATAAAAGTGCATCGCAGCAATTAGGTTTCTCACCATAACAACCTTCCCTTTGAGCTGGCCAGAAAAAAATAAGGATCAAAGCAGAAAGACGAAACATGGGACGTGCATTCAAGTATATACAGTACAAATTTCAATTATACAATTATCAAAAGTGCAATATTAAGTTTGTCACTACCTCAAAAACTATTTACACACCATTTTAAAGTATTTTAAATGAACAAAGAACAAACATGTTGTAAACAGAAAGGGACAAAACACTAACTGAAGTGCAGTCAAGTGTATACAGTACATCACAGGTGAAACCAAATTTAAATGATCAGAAGTGCAACATTAAGTTCGTCACTAGATCAAAAACTATGTACCGTAATTTTCGGACTATAAGCCGCGCCTTTTTCCCCATTTTTCGACCCTGCGGCTTAAATAACGGTGCGGCTAATCTATGGATTTTTACAGCTAACAACCACTAGGGGACCTCCTAAATCTATGGATTTTACAGGTTACAGTCCACCACCTTTAACTCTATGGGCTCTATGGCCGGTCCGCGCCCCCCACCTTTAAGCGGCGGGCTCCAGCAGGAAAAGCTGGAGGCCGGAAAAGAGTGAGACAGGTAGCGCGCAAAAGTAAAAGTGGAACCGAGAGTGGTACGAGAGACAGAACGAGAGC